TAACATAACATAACATAACATAACATAGCATAGCATAGCATAGCATAACATAATATAATATAATATAATTTGTTCACTCATCCAGTTGCAACATTATAACTAACAGATGAAGATATGAAAAAAATGAAGAATAGTCCACATAAAAAAAGTAAATTTTCATAATTTACGTACCATACTCTTATATCATGTCATGCCAGGTTAGATGTCAATGTCCTTGTCATGTGTCACGACTGATTACAATGTGTCAAATTTAAATATATGCATGCAAAATTGTGAATTGAAAGCTATGACGATGGGGAGGAATATTACTGAAAAAAATAAGTATTCCTTTACATGTACCTATAAGGATAAGCATATTTCTATTCAGACCAGTTTAATGAACCATTTTGTAAATCGGTTTGGCCAATTGACTGAAAAGAAACTAACATACACTATGGCTTGCATATACATTTCAGTGTTCTTTTTTTGCATCAAGCTCCCTTTTTTACTAATAATCATTGCTTGATTTAATTAATATGTATGCGATGTTTCTGGACTGGCCAACCATCTAGGATATTTTCCTGCCTGCGGCCCAAGACTCTGAGCATCCCAACACTTAATATTGTGATTAATATTTTGTGATTTTTGTCACAAAAATTACGGTAACACTTTATTTTGATGGTCCATTTTGAACATTCTGTTGACAATAAATAACGTTGCACCTACAAGTCTACTAACTCACATTAGAGTATTAGTAGACTTTATGCTTAATATCTGCTAACTCTTTATTGTGATGGTCTCCCAACAGACATTCTACTGACTATAAGTAACTTTGCAAGTACATGTCAACTTATTCTAACCCTAACCCTACCAGTCTACTAATTCTTCACTAACACTCTAATGAGAGTTAGTAGACATGTAGTCGCTACTTTACCTAAAGTCAACAGAAAGTGTTAAAGGGACCATCAAAATAAAGTGAAACCAAAATGACACATTGACATTTAAAATTTGCTAATTTATGAAGTGGCTTTTTTTTATGTGTGAGTATGTGTATGTATATATTTTTTTCTGCTTCTTATTTAATATATTTCCCTTCTTTGTATCTATCTCACCTTGCAACCAATCAACATCCAAAACCTCAAGACCTCAAACACAATTTGCTTACCAATAATTACATTTTCCTCCTTTTTTTTTTTTTTTTTCTTTGTATAAAAGAATAGATTACAGCCATTCCAATCCAATCACGTGGTGCAGTCAAGTGTCAAGCTGATTTCATAAGGTTACCAAGGTAACGGTGTCTCTCATTCTCTCTCTTTTTTCTTGCTGTCCTTTTTCCAGAATAACCACTACAGCAGCCTGCATGATGGACCTGAGACGGTACCCCCTCGATGAACAGAACTGCACCCTAGAGATTGAGAGTTGTAAGTGAAAGGAAATGTGAACATGCATACACATACTGGCTATTTTCTAGATGTAATACTAGTGTACTACACCCATAGAGAGCATAACTTGCTGTGTTCTACACAACTGTCTCTGCATATTTATTTATTTTTTTTCTTCTTTCTTTATGAGATGAATCATGGCAGCAAAAACCTGAACTGAAGCATGAAAATTTAAATTACAATAAATACCATTATTAATACAACATATAAATAAAACATAATTAACTCTTCCCCACCAGAGTTGCCAGCCACCACCAGCATTTTTGATCAACTTTCATGGCCCAGAATATTTTGTTGTATCAACATCTGCAATATGCCAAAAGAAAGAATAGAGCCTCTGCTTTTAAAGCAGCACTATGTAACTTTTTCTGTGTTCAAAATTTGCTAAATGTATATAATGAGCGAGTACGTCATGAATTCATCTTCCAAACCGCATTTTTGTCTTATTCCGAATCACTACGGTACACTTATAATAAGTACTTATATTTGGACTATTGTAGCCTGGGCGGGTCATCACCTCTGCGGAGTAACACATGCCTGCGTGAATCGCCATAGACATAAACTTAGAGAAGTAGCTCCGGTTGGAATGTTCTTCCGCGGGATGTGTGCAGTTCTGTTTATTAACCGCTAGAGCGCCAAAAGTTACATAGTGCTGCTTTAAACACACAAACAAAAAGGTTTTATTCTAGCTTCATGCATTTTTATTTTACATTTTATGATTAAATTAATTGTTAGCTTTTTATCAACTCACAAACTCACTGCAGTTTTACGTTAAGCCCAGTTTGGGAAACCCCTTTGCTTCTTTATGTCAATATGGTACATTTAACGGTAGGTTTAAAACAAGTCTGATTTAAAAAAGTAATCTAAGAGTAATCCAAAAAGTAATCCATTACCTAAAATGAGTAACCTAGACTACATTACTAACTACAGTTTTCATCATGTAATCTGTAATTAGTAACAGACTACAATTTGTAAGTAATCTACCCAGCTCTACCCAGCTACATAACAGTGAAAACATGGAAAGCTGGAAAAGTCTGTCAATGGTGGGAAAGAGTGGGAACGACAAAACATGATAAACAGCAATGTGTTCCCACTTGTGGCTGTACTGGAATGTTTTTTAAGGTCATAATATGCCAAACTAGGAAATCAGATGCCATGCATTGATGTCAAAGAACAGATTTTTCATTTGAACTGGATCATTGAAACAAACTGTTTAAAAGAACAAATTTGAGGAAATGAATCAGAATCGCCATCACCGGCATGATAGTCTAATCTTCATCAATCATCCTCACAACCTACATAGCACAAACGCCAACTCTAAGATACCTTGAAGCGACCGTGACCATGGACAACAGCAGTTTGAACTCATCCAGCTCATCAATTTCACTTTTGCTTCTTATCTCTGTCACACTCCACAGATACCTAATGTAAGCAAACCCAATCATTAAGCCCATTTAGAGCAATCACCCATATCTGCAGTCCTGCCTACTCTGTCTTTGGGTGTCAGTAGTGATAAATGTTCTTGTAAGGGTTTGACACTGAGGGCTCATGGCACAATTGACAGACGTAGGTAAGATTGAATGTGTTTTCTGGTTTATCAATGAGGTGCCCTGCACTATCGATCAGTCAGGCGTACCAGGATAGTGTGCCCTGTCTATCACGGGTGCATCAGAGGAGCCCAGTCAAATAGCTAGATTTGTGTTTCGAATGATTATACCATGCACACTGTTTCATGCCAATCAATGGGTCAGATGTCACAGCCTGCTGAGGCATGACATTTTTTTTAGATTTGCTTGTATCAACATTTCCTTACTTTTCGAACACTAAAGCTAGCTATTCCGATAACTATTCTTTAGGTGTCACTAACTGCACTGTGGGCTACATGCATGAAACATAAGAAAAAGTTTCTTTGTAAATCATTCCTAAAACACAGTCAATGCTGAAAGTGTTCATTAACACATAAACTGTTTGTAAAAACATTATTATGTTGCATTAATTGTATAAACCCGTCATAAAACTTTTATTACTTCTCATTTTTCAGAAAACCATTCTCACATAAATGGCCTAATTTTGTGTAAATTATTCACAAGATCATTTAAATTGTGTACAAAGCCATTCTCATGTGAATCGTCTCATTCCATAAATTGTGCACTTAGCAGAAGAAATTTATGTCTGAATTACATAATTTGCATAAGAGTGTTTTTACAAACATCTTACAACATTCTTATGCTTTTCATTGTGTGACAAGCTGCAGCATTATAGTATATATTAGAGGTTATTTTATTTAGTTTATTTCTAAATGTTGACAAACACTTAATTTGCATACCTCTTGCCATATTCTCTCCTCGTGACACAGCTTGTCATACAGAAAGCACATTAAACACCCCAAAATGTGTGATGAAACTGAACACAGCAACCAACACAGCAGAACCATTTATTTGTGAAATTAACAGTGCTGATCATGACACATAACGCAGACCAATTTACATCTCACTAAAACACAAACCACATTTTTGATGAAGGAAATAACCTCATTTGTTCTGTGCCTTCCGGTAGGTTGTGCCATGTAGTTCAATTTGCATTTCACAAAACATCTCTGAGACCTGTCTGCTAGATGTAAAACTGGCATTGCCCAGTGCTATGGTTGTGTAAGATACATACATTACATTCTATTTAAACATTTATTGTACTGTCTATAATCTCTGCAGATGGGTACACCACAGATGATATCGTGTTCTTCTGGCAAGGAGGGGACAATGCTGTGACAGGTGTCGACAAACTGGAATTGCCTCAGTTCTCCATTGTGGAGCTACGTCTTGTGTCCAGAGAAGTGAGGTTTACTACAGGTATGGATGAATCACTTGCATGCAAAATGGGGTTAATACCAGCATTAAATCCATGGCCAGAGCAAACGGTCAGTGAGAACAATGCAGTGAACAAGATTTACTGAATATTTAAGGTTATCGCAATGCACTGCTCAACTTAAATTAATGTAGAAAATGCGGCTATCATTTTAAGTGCTCTTGCTCGTAAGCACTCTTATTTATTTCATGGGGAGGTGTCCAAACAAGAGTGAATAATAGTAAAAAAAATAGTGCTGTGATTGGCGTCAGGTACCGTTCATATTCAAATGCTATTTAAATTACAGCCTGATCAAGCTATTTCCCTCTCTCTTTGATAAAATTGCTGCTGAAAGGCTCCCAGTGGAATTTGTTCTATTGCATCCTTATCCAAAAAACCTTTTACTTAAGGTACAAGCGCAGTGAGATTGGAACCACAGGGAATAAACAAGAATATTCCTTTCAAATAGCCATAGCAATTTGAATAATCAATTGAATGAGTCAATTATTCATACCACACCTGACATTTAGCTGCATAGTTTTTAAACAGGCATGTGCAGGCCAACCTTGGAAAGGCTTCTTGAAACATGCTCTTTACAGTTGTCTTAAACCACACACCAGATTTGACACATTAACGGGACATGCTCTTCAGTTACATAATTTATTTGTTTTCTCTCTCTCTCTCAAATTCCCTGTATTAAAAAGCTAAATTGAAAAAAAGACACTGCAGGCTTTTGTGACAATTCTCAGAGGGACATAGACGCTGCCTGCTGAGAAGGGAGTTTCAGAAAAATCTGCCATGTTTGCGACTTTCTGCCATGTTTAATTGGAATGGAACTAGTCCCTGGGAAGGAATCCATTGCTTTGGGGAAATTAAACGCTCCATCTGAACAAATGGGAAAATGACTGTTGTCAAAGTGCAGACTTTGACAATTGCAAATTGTAGATCTATTTTTCCTGTGCTTGCTCTTTTGTGTTTCCAGTTACATGTTGATATCTTTTTTTTTTTGGCTTCTGCTTTGTACTTGTGTCTCCCCAGGTTCATACCCTCGGCTGTCGTTGAGTTTCCGCATCAAGAGAAACATCGGCTACTTTATCCTGCAGACTTACATGCCCTCCATTCTGATCACAATCTTGTCCTGGGTCTCCTTCTGGATTAACTATGATGCCTCTGCTGCTCGTGTGGCCCTGGGTAACCTTTAACGTTTTGTTCATCAGGAAGTAATTTTTTCCTGTATAAAACCGTATCAATCATTTTAATTGTCTTTTGCGCAAACTATTCTTATATTCTACTTTTTGTCAACCATGATTAAAGCAGTTGAAGCCCTTTCACATGACCTGCGTGAATGTTCCCCAATGCAATAAACTTGAGCGAAGCTTTAAGCTTACGTGATGCTCAAAGTTCATACGGTTTCAGCTTTGACTCCGTTTGCCACTGATTTCACTGGAAGATTTGCATTAAGTATAATTATGTGGGTGATGCAGATACAACAATGAAAACAAGAGTAATCCAATGTTTGTGTAGATTAAGCATGTCTAAAATTGCTTGAGAAAACTATCCTTAGCATCCCCATAAATTTTTTTTTTGTCCTTTTATTTTTCACAGGTACTTGGCTATGCAAACCAGCCCAAAGTATTCTAGGACATAAAGCTTTGTGAAACTATGTCTATTTTTTTTTCTGCAATATATCACCAGAATTGTTCTCTTTTTTTAGCATTGAAATTGTTTAATCTTTAGTTCTGAGTTCTGTTATGTCAGGCTTAAAACTTGGCCACTTCGCATTCTATAAGAAAGCTTACTATTAGACAACTACATAGTGGGATGTCTTATTTCACCTTCATTTCTTTGGGCATGTCTTATTTCAACTTGGGCCTAAAGTAGGAGCATGATGACCCTGTTAAGTGGTTCATGAAAGCCTCGACGCAAGTCGCATGAACGTAACATTATTCATTGAAGTGACTAACATGGCTTTCTTGCAGGTGTAACCACGGTGCTCACTATGACAACCATCAACACCCACCTGAGGGAGACCCTCCCAAAGATCCCCTATGTGAAAGCCATCGATGTCTACCTCATGGGCTGCTTCGTCTTTGTTTTCCTGGCCCTGCTTGAATATGCCTTCGTAAACTACGTGTTCTTTGGAAGGGGACCCCAGCAGCAGAAAAAGATCAACGAAAGGCTAAACAAAGCCAACAACGAGCGTCCCCGCTATGAGGAGAAGCGTCTAAGGGAACAGGTACGCAAGATCTCTTGTAAGCCATTTATAACAGTTGCACAGTTCATTTTTGTGCTAATTAAAAGCTAATTTAAATGAATTTAATAAGCGTTGACAATGTTCATGCATGTCTAAATTAATACGTATTCACTTAGTTTGTAAGCAGAACAACTTCACTCATCAAAATAACTATCGCCTGAATGAATCGCTTCACATCACTGCTAAAAACGAACATTAAATTGCCCATTAACCATGACTTTACTTAATCAGTGATGTATTTCATTTGATTGAAGCTGCATTTCATTAATAAGAGAGGTTCCTCTTGCTTGGAAAGTTACAAATTACATTGTCATTATGCTATCTGATTCTAGTCTGCTTTTTGACGCAGGCTTCTTTTTCAATCCAAGCACCGTAATGTACCGTGAGATAGACCGATTCATTTCTCCCTTCTTAAAATGTCAGCCATTTTCATACTTATAACAACTGTGTGGACTAAGCTCAGTTACTAAACCAGAGTAATGAGAGTTGGACTGAATAAAGCATTTGTGTCTGTGTCTTTAATGCAAGCTTTTTCTTCTTCACCCTCATATTTATGCACTTTTGTATTCTTCGAAAATTGTTGCTTGATTGCCAGTTTATATGGGCGTTTTAATGTTCTCTTCATTTTTTCTTTCACATCGCAAGGACTCCATTTCAGCGCCGTTTCAAAGCAACACCCTCAGGTCATATACACAGAGAAGAAATCTGTATCTCGAGGAACAAAGAAAAGTCGGGGTACATGCATTTAGAAATCATATCAGTTGAAACAGTGGAAATTTCAACTCAGAAGATGATGAAATATTGTCATTAAAGTGCCCCTATTATGCCATTTCCAATATTGCCTTTCATGCAGTGTGTAATGTAGCTGTAATGTAAACGATCTGCAAAGTTGTAAAGCTGAAAATGCACGATAAATAAAGTTATTGTCTCCCAAAATAAAGAATTGACTCTGAACAGCTGAAACGAGTTGTTAGTAATTCGAGTCCCACTTCCGTGACGGCTACACGTAATGCATGCCTATGTTCTACGTTTGCCGGCCGCGCACAACTTGACCCCGCCCACAAATACCTAATTCTACTGATGACTGCTTCTCTAATCTCGGGGAGTTCAACGCGTGATTTACGCTTGCTGTTGAAAAATGGATGGATGGATTTTTTCTATAGCGCATTCAAAATACAGAACTATTGAAATAGGCGTATCTTTTCCGAAATGTGCTGTACACGGTAGACCAATCACAACAGACTAGGCCATCTGACCAATCAGAGCAGAGCAGGCTCACGGAGAGGATGGGTTTAGAGAGACTGAATCTTTGAACTGCTTTGAACGAATCGTTTGAGAATCGCTGGAAAATGAGGTGATATTAAATGCATATTTTGAGAAAACTAAAGCGTTTTTTGATGTTGCATGCATGTAATCCTATTGTAGGAGACTCCCAAAACAATATTAGAAACCGTAAAAATGGCATAATAGGGGCACTTGAACTACTGTGTGTGTGTCAGCCATCACATTTTGAATAATTCTTGTAAAGTTCCCTCTTCCCAAGTAAAGTTTGTTGTAACTGTGACATACCATCATCATTGCATTCGCATGAAAGGTTGAATGGAAGTAATTGCTATTTGAGACAGTTTAGGACCGTCTGTTTCCTGTGGCCGCTTATGACAACCCTTCTCCGTCTTTTATTGTCTCAAGGTGGATGCTTATGGAAACATTCTTCTCACCACTTTGGAGATGAACAATGAGGTGATGCCGTCCGACGTTGGCAGCAGCGTCAGTGACTCACGGAACTCCGTCATGTCCTTTGACAGCTCCGGAGTGCAGTTCCGCAAGCCCATGGCTTCACGGGATGGGTTCACCCACCACTCGTTGGACCGCAGCGCCATGCGCAGTCGTGCCAACTGCCGGCTGAGAAGGCGCTCGTCCAAGCTGAAGCTCAAAATCCCCAACTTGGCGGATGTTAGCACCATTGACAAGTGGTCCCGGGTCATTTTTCCTATCACTTTTGGATTCTTCAACCTTATCTATTGGTTGTATTATGTGAATTGATATGCGTTCCCCTAGGAAACATGGGCCATATTTTGAGAGCACATTGAATTGGCTTTGATACAATTGGAAAATATGTGTACACATATATGAAAAGTTGATACATATGTATATGCATATTTCTATATATTATATTTCTATATACACATGCTGTGTAAAATCTAAAGGACTTTTCTGGTGTAAAAAAGAAAAAAGAAACGTGTTATATAGAATGACTTCAATGTTTAAGAATAATACAAAAGAAACATTTCAAGTATTTTAATTATTTTCCTTCTGAAACAAACGACGAATAACATACATTAGTCCCCTGTTCGAGGGCACGGAACTAAAGACTGCATGATATTTTTGCTAAAAGAAAAGATTGCAAGAGAAAAAGAACGTCACATCTGCTTTTTATTGATACTGTAATCAACCTCTCCCAGCCGCAGCTCATGAAATCAGAAGTGGCTTGTGCATTTCGGGGCATCGACCGAGCGGGCCCCCAGACCAGATCCACTGCTTTCCCCATGCCCATGGAAGAGACTGACGGAAATGTCCATTTCTACACTGTACAGCAACCTCTTTTGGAATTATGTGTCATTCCTTGATTTTGCAAGTGACAAGCGTTCTCTTTATCGGACCTCTCAGCTCTGGTCAATGGTTTACACTGGATGGCCATCTTGAGTTTTAACCAATGCATCCTGCCCAGAGTCAGTATGGTTAATTTTCTCTCTTCTCTTTTTTGCAGATTCTCATTCCTTTCATTTTTGGGCCAAGGGTATACTCATATTTTTGAAGGGCATCAGCTAAACATGTTCTAGAGGTAGTTTATTAATAGATATTAAGCCACTGGTATGCATCATTCATTGAGAATTTAAGAAAATGAAGAGGAAAAAAAGAGTACATTCATTCATTCCGTAGCCTTATTGACATTGTTGTTCTTTCTTTACTCTTGTTCCTAGTGCATTTCATATGTTCTATTGATACAGTATTCATGAACATCTTGTAGAGCTTTGTGTTGTTTGGAATGGAGGGAAACCCTTAGTGAGATGTAACGTTTCTTTAGAACTTGGATTTGAAGTTAGTCCAACTATGTGAAAATGTACAAAATAAGGAGATAAAAGATTATTGTGTATTCAACAGGGGATGTGACCATGTTTTGATCTGTTTCATGTTTAAGTCAACCACTCGAACCATAGTGTGACCTGATATTGTATATATTCAGTCATTGTAGTGATCCATCCTGAGAATGATATATGCTGATGTTTTTAGTTTCTCTAAAATGTGCCTGTCTGAAACCTGAAGGATGTGTCCTCAGTTCATCAATCAGTGAAAGAGGGCCGAATGACCCTTGATATTTGACCTTTCACTTTAAGCACTGCAGACCCACCCACAGCTCCGACGTTTTGCATCTTGGGATTGAATCTCAAAGCATAATCAGGAAAAAAATTAATAAAATAAAAGCTTCTGAGTCTTTTCGGGGCAAAATGACTTGTACGATAAAAGCCATGAACTGACGTTGCAACCAAAAAGGCCTATAATCCATTTCTCTTTTTACCATTTACCTCTGATTCACCCACCACCATTTCTTTTGGGCTTCGCCTCATTATGATTTACCTCAGCTTCATTGACATTGAGGTGGCCAGATCTTTCTCTATCTCCAGGTGACCACAAACTCCCACCTAAATCCATATATCAATTAATCTACCATCCATATTCGTTCAAAGCTCATTTCTGGTAGTGTCTAGCTGTCTCAATACTCAGAGTAATTTGGTTGAATAGAAGCATCCCAACAAATGTTTTTCACAGCAATGTTGGAACAGTTCTTGAAGATGTGGATGAGAACTGAATTGCTGAATAACTGGGCAAGGTGACATTTAAAAGCGAGGAGGGTTCCGGTGGTGGTTTGAGAACACGAGAGCCCAGGATTTGCTTGAGTTCCCTGAGGAGGATATCCTGAGCAGGCCTCAGACCTCAGAGCTCAGCAGGGTCCCTTGGCTCTCGACCCCCACACCAGACCTCTCAACACTTGGGAAAGTGTGGACCAGCCACCAAATCACCAACAGATCACTCATTCCATGAAGAAACAAAGGAGTCAGGGAAATCTGAAAGTATAGAAGGCTGTACCTCAAGGTACTTGCACGGTCCTACGTTACTTGTCAGCAGATGACCATAGAAGCACATTCGAAGGATTTCCACTTATTGTGTTATTATATTTGTTATGTGAGCATGACCATAACACCTGTGCAAGGGAGCCAGTACTCTCAAGTGCAAAGCAAGACATGCACGGTTGCATGCACACTGTAGCAATTAAGTTAAGCGCAAATCTGCACTAAAAGAGGATGGAGGTCAGAGTGCTTTTCATGAGAAACCCTAGCTATTATGAGTGTTACGAGGCTGCCTTGGCCAGTTACAACTCCCAGTAGGCATTCAAGATGCTGCAATGCTTTGCCAATGAAGGTTCAAAGGCAGACTAGTTAGGTATACACATTTAATCTATAGTGTTTAGATGTGAATTTACAATGTAGATCAGAGCTTTTAAGCTACAATATCAATCCACCTCTACTAGTGCAGTGTTGTAGACAAGTGTAGTGGTAAGTTGAAAATGCTAACTGCACCATTAGCCAACTTTTCTCTTAATGTATTCAAGGGAACCGGACCAGTTAGAAGGAAGACGTAGATTTTTTTTTTTTTTTTTTTTTTTGACATGGAAAAAAGAG